CACCCTGAGTGCGCGATTATCCACAAGCAGTAGGCAATATCACGACCCCTCATCATTGGTGCTTTCAATGAGAGTATCCAATCGTGTTTTTGTCTATTTTATCTTTTTATTTTTCGATTTTTCCTTTTGCTGAGGGGGCCGAATTTTTTCTTTATTTTTAAATTTTCCCTTCTTTGCTTCCTTTTTTCGTGAGTTTTAAGAGTTAGTAAAAAAAAAGAGAGAGTCGAGAGTCTTAAAAAATAAAAAAAGGTTGTCAAACCGTGAAAGGATAGAAGCGTTGGAGGAGAGCTTGAAGGCCATTGGTGATGGCCAACATATGACCAACGAGAATTTGGGGAAGATAGAGCTCATGGTCCACGATCTATTTGGGCAACTCACGCGCATGTCACACCAGCCACGAAGGATTCGCGAGACACGGTCGACCACGGCGTCCAACAACACCGAGGCTGACCATGAGGACGACGATCGGCGATCGAGAGCGACGCACGCATCCTATGCATCACGCGCATCATGCGGGCACCATCACTGTGAGGAACGGAGACAGCACGGGGAGCATGTGACGCATCACCACCGCGGCGAACGACACCACGAGGAACAGGCGTACACAGGCCAAAGCTTACCATGCCCACATTCACGGTAGTTGATCTGGATGCGTGTCTTAGTCAGGCTGTGCAAATTTGTGAAATCAACGATATGACAAGGTATGAGAGAGTTCAAATTGCTGCTTATCATCTTGATGGAGAAGCAAACGTTTGGTGGCAATGGATTTTGCATAAGAATAATGGTGAGCACATGCGTTGGAAGGATTTTGAAAGAGAGCTCATCACGAGGTTTGATTCTAGTGATTACTTTGATTATGATGAATCTTTTTCGAGGATACGTCAAGTTGGTAGTCTTTGTGATTATCAAAAGGAGTTTGAGCGGATTGCTAGTAGGGTTCGGGACTGACCCGAGAGTGCGCTAGTAGGAGCGTTTGTTGGAGGGCTGAAAGTCGAATTGGCGGCTGAAGTGCGACTGGATAGGCCGAGGTCAACATGAGCGGCAATGGAGTCGGCCAGGTTGCACGAGGACCACCTCACGGTGGTGCGCAAAGCAAGGTCGAGCGACGCACGCACAGAGCCGAGGCACACGCACGCCGCGATTGAGGAGGTGCCCCCATGGGCCAAGTTCAAGCCGACCACCGAAGGTGTTCGAACCACGAGCAATATGCGGCGATTGACGGAGGATGAGATCCAACGGCGAAGAGCGAAAGGTCCATGCTTCACATGCAACGAAAAATTCACACCAGCCATAAATGCAAAGGTAAAGAAGTCTTTTTGCTTGAGTTTGAGGAGGAACAGGAGAGCGAACCACTTGAGGAGACTTTGCTACATGTGGTCAAGTGCAAGAAACGAGGCCCAAAGATGATCACGTTTACAGCAGAGATTAGGGGCATGTTGGTGGAGGTATTGGTAGGTAGCAGGTCAACGCTAAATTTCATTGATGAGGAGTTGTCCAAGGAGATAGAGATTCCATTCACAAAGGTGAAACCTTTTGGAGTCAAGGTGGCCAACGGAGAGACACTTCGAGGAGATCTACTTTTCAAAGGAGTAAAGATGGAAGCTCAGGGTCAAAGGATGAAAGTTGATCTATATGCCTTACCATTGAAGGCGACTGATGTGGTACTTGGATGTCAGTGGTTGGATACTTTTGGTCCAATCATAACCGATTATTGGAAATGAACTATGGAGTTCGGGCGATCGAGCAAGCGAATCAAATTGATGACCGAAGATCCAGGGGAGTCACCTGATGAGGATGAAAATGATAAGCGAGTCCACAAGCTTAATTTCATCATCCTTGAGGACAAGGATAGTCTTGAAGAGGACAGAAATGACACGGAAGTGGTTATTAACCCTGGCGAGTCCGAGGAAGACACCAGCGATGATCTCAATATTTGGCTAGAGACCATGTTCGAGGAGCCACACGGTGGGTACTATCGGCTTTCTTGTAGAGAAGATTGGCCGAGAGGTTGTGGCAATAGGTCAAGGACAAGGTCAAGGAGGCAAAAGGCCAAGTGAACTAAGGGGCCACGCAAGGCGAGGACTAATGTGGTGGGTAATTGGTGCGGGCCTTGTGCAAGGAAGCGACGTGCTTGGCAAATGGAGACTAAGAGAATGGGCGCGCGAAGGGTGGAAGATGGGTGGAAGATTCGCGCGGGTGATTGTTGTGGGCCACCAGACGGATGCGGATGGACGGGCATGATCG